GCTGGGGTCTGCTGTGGCTTCGGGGGTCTGGCTCTTGGATCCAGTGGGGGCCTGGGGCCCCTCTCTCCTCTGGGTCCTATGGGGTCTGAGTCCTGGGCCTGGTGGGGTCTGGGGCCCCTCTCTCCTCTGGGTCCTATGGGGTCTGAGTCCTGGGCCTGGTGGGGTCTGGGGCCTCCTCTCTCCTCTGGGTCCTATGGGGTCTGAGTCCTGGGCCTGGTGGGGTCTGGGGCCCCTCTCTCCTCTGGGTCCTATGGGGTCTGAGTCCTGGGCCTGGTGGGGTCTGGGGCCTCCTCTCTCCTCTGGGTCCTATGGGGTCTGAGTCCTGGGCCTGGTGGGGTCTGGGGCCCCTCTCTCCTCTGGGTCCTATGGGGTCTGAGTCCTGGGCCTGGTGGGGTCTGGGGCCCCTCTCTCCTCTGGGTCCTATGGGGTCTGAGTCCTGGACCTGGTGGGGTCTGGGGCCCCTCTCTCCTCTGGGTCCTATGGGGTCTGAGTCCTGGGCCTGGTGGGGTCTGGGGCCCCTCTCTCCTCTGGGTCCTATGGGGTCTGAGTCCTGGGCCTGGTGGGGTCTGGGGCCCCTCTCTCCTCTGGGTCCTATGGGGTCTGAGTCCTGGGCCTGGTGGGGTCTGGGGCCCCTCTCTCCTCTGGGTCCTATGGGGTCTGAGCCCTGGGCCTGGTGGGGTCTGGGGCCTCCTCTCTCCTCTGGGTCCTATGGGGTCTGAGTCCTGGGCCTGGTGGGGTCTGGGGCCCCTCTCTCCTCTGGGTCCTATGGGGGTCTGAGTCCTGGGCCTGGTGGGGTCTGGGGCCCCTCTCTCCTCTGGGTCCTATGGGGTCTGAGTCCTGGGCCTGGTGGGGTCTGGGGCCCCTCTCTCCTCTGGGTCCTATGGGGTCTGAGTCCTGGGCCTGGTGGGGTCTGGGGCCTCCTCTCTCCTCTGGGTCCTATGGGGTCTGAGCCCTGGGCCTGGTGGAGTCTGGGGCCCCTCTCTCCTCTGGGTCCTATGGGGTCTGAGTCCTGGGCCTGGTGGGGTCTGGGGCCTCCTCTCTCCTCTGGGTCCTATGGGGTCTGAGTCCTGGGCCTGGTGGGGTCTGGGGCCCCTCTCTCCTCTGGGTCCTATGGGGTCTGAGTCCTGGGCCTGGTGGGGTCTGGGGGCCCCTCTCTCCTCTGGGTCCTATGGGGTCTGAGTCCTGGGCCTGGTGGGGTCTAGGGCCCCTCTCTCCTCTGGGTCCTATGGGGTCTGAGTCCTGGGCCTGGTGGGGTCTGGGGCCCCTCTCTCCCCTGGGTCCTATGGGGTCTGAGTCCTGGGCCTGGTGGGGTCTGGGGCCCCTCTCTCCTCTGGGTCCTATGGGGTCTGAGTCCTGGGCCTGGTGGGGTCTGGGGCCCCTCTCTCCTCTGGGTCCTATGGGGTCTGAGTCCTGGGCCTGGTGGGGTCTGGGGCCCCTCTCTCCTCTGGGTCCTATGGGGTCTGAGTCCTGGGCCTGGTGGGGTCTGGGGCCCCTCTCTCCTCTGGGTCCTATGGGGTCTGAGTCCTGGGCCTGGTGGAGTCTGGGGCCCCTCTCTCCTCTGGGTCCTATGGGGTCTGAGTCCTGGGCCTGGTGGGGTCTGGGGCCCCTCTCTCCTCTGGGTCCTATGGGGTCTGAGTCCTGGGCCTGGTGGGGTCTGGGGCCCCTCTCTCCTCTGGGTCCTATGGGGTCTGAGTCCTGGGCCTGGTGGGGTCTGGGGCCCCTCTCTCCTCTGGGTCCTATGGGGTCTGAGTCCTGGGCCTGGTGGGGTCTGGGGCCCCTCTCTCCTCTGGGTCCTATGGGGTCTGAGTCCTGGGCCTGGTGGGGTCTGGGGCCCCTCTCTCCTCTGGGTCCTATGGGGTCTGAGTCCTGGGCCTGGTGGGGTCTGGGGCCCCTCTCTCCTCTGGGTCCTATGGGGTCTGAGTCCTGGGCCTGGTGGGGTCTGGGGCCCCTCTCTCCTCTGGGTCCTATGGGGTCTGAGTCCTGGGCCTGGTGGGGTCTGGGGCCCCTCTCTCCTCTGGGTCCTATGGGGTCTGAGTCCTGGGCCTGGTGGGGTCTGGGGCCCCTCTCTCCTCTGGGTCCTATGGGGTCTGAGTCCTGGGCCTGGTGGGGTCTGGGGCCCTCTCTCCTCTGGGTCCTATGGGGTCTGAGTCCTGGGCCTGGTGGGGTCTGGGGCCCCTCTCTCCTCTGGGTCCTATGGGGTCTGAGTCCTGGGCCTGGTGGGGTCTGGGGCCCCTCTCTCCTCTGGGTCCTATGGGGTCTGAGTCCTGGGCCTGGTGGGGTCTGGGGCCCCTCTCTCCTCTGGGTCCTATGGGGTCTGAGTCCTGGGCCTGGTGGGGTCTGGGGCCTCCTCTCTCCTCTGGGTCCTATGGGGTCTGAGTCCTGGGCCTGGTGGGGTCTGGGGCCCCTCTCTCCTCTGGGTCCTATGGGGTCTGAGTCCTGGGCCTGGTGGGGTCTGGGGCCCCTCTCTCCTCTGGGTCCTATGGGGTCTGAGTCCTGGACCTGGTGGGGTTGGGGCCCCTCTCTCCCCTGGGTCCTATGGGGTCTGAGTCCTGGGCCTGGTGGGGTCTGGGGCCCCTCTCCCCTGGGTCCTATGGGGTCTGAGTCCTGGGCCTGGTGGGGTCTGGGGCCCCTCTCTCTTCTGGGTCCTATGGGGTCTGAGTCCTGGGCCTGGTGGGGTCTGGGGCCCCTCTCTCCTCTGGGTCCTATGGGGTCTGAGTCCTGGGCCTGGTGGGGTCTGGGGCCCCTCTCTCCTCTGGGTCCTATGGGGTCTGAGTCCTGGGCCTGGTGGGGTCTGGGGCCCCTCTCTCCTCTGGGTCCTATGGGGTCTGAGTCTGGGCCTGGTGGAGTCTGGGGCCCCTCTCTCCTCTGGGTCCTATGGGGTCTGAGTCCTGGGCCTGGTGGGGTCTGGGGCCCCTCTCTCCTCTGGGTCCTATGGGGTCTGAGTCCTGGGCCTGGTGGGGTCTGGGGCCCCTCTCTCCTCTGGGTCCTATGGGGTCTGAGTCCTGGGCCTGGTGGGGCTGGGGCCCCTCTCTCCTCTGGGTCCTATGGGGTCTGAGTCCTGGGCCTGGTGGGGTCTGGGGCCCCTCTCTCCTCTGGGTCCTATGGGGTCTGAGTCCTGGGCCTGGTGGGGTCTGGGGCCCCTCTCTCCTCTGGGTCCTATGGGGTCTGAGTCCTGGGCCTGGTGGGGTCTGGGGCCCCTCTCTCCTCTGGGTCCTATGGGGTCTGAGTCCTGGGCCTGGTGGGGCCTGGGGCCCCTCTCTCCTCTGGGTCCTATGGGGTCTGAGTCCTGGGCCTGGTGGGGTCTGGGGCCCCTCTCTCCTCTGGGTCCTATGGGGTCTGAGTCCTGGGCCTGGTGGGGTCTGGGGCCCCTCTCTCCTCTGGGTCCTATGGGGTCTGAGTCCTGGGCCTGGTGGGGCCTGGGGCCCCTCTCTCCTCTGGGTCCTATGGGGTCTGAGTCCTGGGCCTGGTGGGGTCTGGGGCCCCTCTCTCCTCTGGGTCCTATGGGGTCTGAGTCCTGGGCCTGGTGGGGTCTGGGGCCCCTCTCTCCTCTGGGTCCTATGGGGTCTGAGTCCTGGGCCTGGTGGGGTCTGGGGCCCCTCTCTCCTCTGGGTCCTATGGGGTCTGAGTCCTGGGCCTGGTGGGGTCTGGGGCCCCTCTCTCCTCTGGGTCCTATGGGGTCTGAGTCCTGGGCCTGGTGGGGTCTGGGGCCCCTCTCTCCTCTGGGTCCTATGGGGTCTGAGTCCTGGGCCTGGTGGGGTCTGGGGCCCCTCTCTCCTCTGGGTCCTATGGGGTCTGAGTCCTGGGCCTGGTGGGGTCTGGGGCCCCTCTCTCCTCTGGGTCCTATGGGGTCTGAGTCCTGGGCCTGGTGGGGTCTGGGGCCCCTCTCTCCTCTGGGTCCTATGGGGTCTGAGTCCTGGGCCTGGTGGGGTCTGGGGCCCCTCTCTCCTCTGGGTCCTATGGGGTCTGAGTCCTGGGCCTGGTGGGGTCTGGGGCCCCTCTCTCCTCTGGGTCCTATGGGGTCTGAGTCCTGGGCCTGGTGGGGTCTGGGGCCCCTCTCTCCTCTGGGTCCTATGGGGTTAGTCCTGCTTTAGTCCTGCTTTAGTCCTGCTTTAGACCTGCTTTAGTCCTGCTTTAGTCCTGCTTTAGACCTGCTTTAGACCTGCTTCAGACCTGCTTTAGTCCTGTTTTAGACCTGCTTTAGACCTGCTTTAGACCTGCTTTAGACCTGCTTTGGTCCTGCTTTAGTCCTGCTTTAGACCTGCTTTAGACCTGCTTTGGTCCTGCTTTTGACCTGCTTTAGTCCTGCTTTAGTCCTGCTTTAGTCCTGCTTTAGACCTGCTTTAGTCCTGCTTTAGACCTGCTTTAGTCCTGCTTTAGTCCTGCTTTAGACCTGCTTTAGTCCTGCTTTAGTCATGCTTTAGTCATGCTTTAGACCTGCTTTAGTCCTGCTTTAGACCTGCTTTAGTCCTGCTTTAGACCTGCTTTAGACCTGCTTTAGTCCTGCTTTAGTCCTGCTTTAGTCCTGCTTTAGACCTGCTTTAGTCCTGCTTTAGACCTGCTTTAGACCTGCTTTAGTCCTGCTTTAGACCTGCTTTAGTCCTGCTTTAGTCCTGCTTTAGACCTGCTTTAGACCTGCTTTAGTCCTGCTTTAGACCTGCTTTAGACCTGCTTTAGACCTGCTTTAGTCCTGCTTTAGTCCTGCTTTAGTCCTGCTTTAGACCTGATTTAGTCCTGCTTTAGACCTGCTTTAGTCCTGCTTTAGACCTGCTTTAGACCTGCTTTAGTCCTGCTTTAGACCTGCTTTAGTCCTGCTTTAGTCCTGCTTTAGTCCTCCTTTAGTCCTGCTTTAGTCCTGCTTTAGTCCTGCTTTAGACCTGCTTTAGTCCTGCTTTAGACCTGCTTCAGTCCTGCTTTAGTCCTGCTTTAGACCTGCTTTAGTCCTGCTTTAGTCCTGCTTTAGACCTGCTTCAGTCCTGCTTTAGACCTGCTTTAGTCCTGCTTTAGACCTGCTTTCGAGTTGTCTTTGGATTTGCTTTGATACTGCTCCAGTCCCGGTCCGGTCCGGTCCGGTCCGGTCCGGTCCGGTCCGGTCCTCTCACCAGTTTCTCCTTCCCCACCGTGAGGATGGACGTGTAAACTTCCAGATAAACGCGGGAGCAGCGTCTGACCGCAGCCAGACCCTTCACCGTGATGTCCTCCGCGTCCCCGAGTCCCAGGCCGATCAGGTACAGCACCATCCCGAGCCGAGCCGAGCCGAGCCTAGCGCTGAAGCAGGATGACACGGTTTAAAAGTCAGACGCGTGTTCTGGGAGTGGATCTCGGGGCGAACGGAATACGGCTGTCGTGAAGTGTTTGTGTTTGTGACATAAGGAGCGAGATACGGCAGTCCGCCTGAGCTCTTCTTCTTCTTCTTTGGTTGCTTAACGGCGGTTGCGAACTAGTGCAGCACCGCCACCCACCGGACAGATTGTGCATGTGTCACCTCTATGGCTTACAACTTCCGAAGCAGTTTCGTAGCTTGCAAGCTACAGTTAATAAAACAAAAGGATAACTTATGCATGCATATTTTAAATTCTTCTAACGAGTCCAGTGTGTTTTAAAAAATCAAACAAATTTGTTATCACTCTATGGTCTGATTCTTTAGATAATATGTCTTTTAGGGTAAACTTTTCCCCACAATCCTCTATTTTCCTTCTAAGTAAAATCCTGTCTGTTTGAAACTTTCCGCATTTGATAAAAATATGTTCCACTGTCTCTGACACTTACAGTCATCGCAGTTTCCTGACGGATGCTTCCCTTTTAGATGCAATGTGGTATTAAGACCAGTGTGCCCTATTCTCATTCTGGTTAAAATAGTTTCTTCCCTTCTACATCTCATGACCCTGTTCAAATGCCATTAGAGCTTACTTCCAAACGTAAATGCAATGAGTTTGCTAATTTTTTCAATGACAAGGTTCAAGGCATCAAAAACGCCATTGTCTCCAATCCACAGATAACCATCCAACAGCCAGAAAGGCTCTTTGAGCTAACTCACTTTGCACCTGTAAATGATAAAACTGTCCAAGAGATAATCTCCAGTTTGAGCTCCTCCACATGCAGCTTGGATGTACTACCCACTAGATTTCTGAAGTCTGTTCTGAGCAGTCTGTTACCTTCACTCACACAGATAGTAAACATGTCCCTTCATTCTGGAATATTCCCAAAGGCCCTGAAAACTGCAGTCATCAGGCCCCTGCTAAAAAAGAGCAGTCTCGATGCTACGGTACTTAACAACTATCGTCCCATCTCAAATCTGCCATTTATGGGGAAAGTCCTTGAAAATGTTGTCTACCTACAGCTTACTAGATTTCTTATAATCAACAACTCATTTGATATGTTTCAGTCCGGCTTTAGACCCCACCACAGCACTGAGACTGCTCTCGTTAAGGTTACAAACGATATCCGGCTGAACACTGACGCAGGCAAAGTCTCAATCCTAATCCTGTTAGATCTAAGTGCTGCCTTTGACACTGTCGAACATGAGATCCTCTTACAGAGACTAGAGGACTGGGTTGGCGTCACTGGCACCGCCCTAAGTTGGTTTAGGTCTTACCTTGAAGACAGGAAGTACTTTGTGGAGATTGGAAACTGTGTCTCAGATCATATGGCCCTGACCTGTGGAGTACCACAGGGGTCGATCCTGGGACCTCTTCTGTTCAATCTCTACATGCTGCCGTTAGGTCAGTTAATACGCAGAAACAAAGTTTCCTATCATAACTATGCAGACGACACTCAGATCTATGTCTCACTGACTGCAGGAGAACATGGACCAGTGGACTCACTCCTTCACTGTATCCAACAGATCAGTGAGTGGATGCAAAACAACTTCCTTCAGCTAAACGCAGACAAAACTGAAATGATTGTCTTTGGTCCCCAGAAACAAAGAGAGAGCGTCATCTGTCACCTACAGTCTCTCTCCCTAAAACCTTCAAACAAGGTCAGAAATCTAGGGGTAATACTGGACTCAGACTTACATTTTAATAGCCACATCAAATCAGTAACATCAGCAGCTTTTTACCATCTAAAAAACATTTCCAGGATCAAAAACATAGTGTCTAAAGCAGACCTGGAGATTCTTATCCATGCATTTGTCTCCAGTAGGTTAGACTACTGCAATGGCCTGCTCACAGGTCTGTCCAAACAGGCTGTAAAACAGCTGCAGTACATTCAAAATGCAGCAGCTCGAGTCCTGACAAGAACCAGGAAGTACGACCATATTAGTCCTGACTAGAACCAGGAAGTACGACCATATTAGTCCTGACTAGAACCAGGAAGTACGACCACATTAGTCCTGACTAGAACCAGGAAGTACGACCATATTAGTCCTGACTAGAACCAGGAAGTATGACCACATTAGTCCTGACTAGAACCAGGAAGTACGACCATATTAGTCCTGACTAGAACCAGGAAGTACGACCACATTAGTCCTGACTAGAACCAGGAAGTACGACCATATTAGTCCTGACTAGAACCAGGAAGTACGACCACATTAGTCCTGACTAGAACCAGGAAGTACGACCACATTAGTCCTGACTAGAACCAGGAAGTACGACCACATTAGTCCAGTCCTCAGGTCTCTGCACTGGCTTCCTGTGGCTCAGAGAATAGACTTTAAAACAGCTCTGCTTGTTACAAGTCTCTCCATGGCCTCGCACCAAAATATATTAGTGACATGTTAGTCCCATATGAACCAGCCCGGACTCTGAGGAGCACAGGGACTGGACTCCTGCTGGGACTCTGAGGAGCACAGGGACTGGACTCCTGCTGGGACTCTGAGGAGCACAGGGACTGGACTCCTGCTGGGACTCTGAGGAGCACAGGGACTGGACTCCTGCTGGGACTCTGAGGAGCACAGGGACTGGACTCCTGCTGGGACTCTGAGGAGCACAGGGACTGGACTCCTGCTGGGACTCTGAGGAGCACAGGGACTGGCCTCCAGCTGGGACTCTGAGGAGCACAGGGACTGGACTCCTGCTGGGACTCTGAGGAGCACAGGGACTGGACTCCTGCTGGGACTCTGAGGAGCACAGGGACTGGACTCCTGCTGGGACTCTGAGGAGCACAGGGACTGGACTCCTGCTGGGACTCTGAGGAGCACAGGGACTGGACTCCTGCTGGGACTCTGAGGAGCACAGGGACTGGACTCCTGCTGGGACTCTGAGGAGCACAGGGACTGGACTCCTGCTGGGACTCTGAGGAGCACAGGGACTGGACTCCTGTTAGTGCCCAGAGTCAGAACTAAACATGGGGAGGCTGCTTTTCAGATTCATGCTGCTAAAATCTGGAACAGTCTTCCTGAAGATGTGAGACAGGCCTCCTCTCTGACAATGTTTAAAACCAGGTTAAAGACAGTTCTGTTTAGCTGTGCTACAACTGAGGGATTTTATATTTTTATCTTTCTTTTTAATTTTCTGTGATTATTTATGATTTTAATGCTTTCTTGTTTTGTTCAGCATTTTGAGTTGCCTTGTGTATGAATTGCGCTATATAAATAAACTTGCCTTGCCCATGACCCGACGGCCCTGACCGACCTCAGGAGTTATCTTATAAAGACCCCTCCCTCTGTCTTCTCTCTCCCACTTCTCTTGCCACGATCCTTTGACATGCTTTACTATGATTGACTTTGCCTCTGATTTCGACACTTTACACTTTACAGATACAGCTGTTGCTTTCAAGGCTTGTTTAGCACATTTGTCTGCCAGCTCATTTCCCATCAGACCTACATGAGCTGGAACCCAAACAAATGTAACATGTGTTCCCCCAGTCTCAATATTATGCAGCAAAGTTAATATCTCACACACTATGTCATATCTTTCACTTTCATTATCAGATTTAAAACTCTCTAATGCTGACAATGAATCAGAGCATATTACAACTCTTAGCGCTCTAACTTGTTCTACCCATTGTAGTTCCATAACGATAGCGATCAACAGCTGCATAGACTGATATTGATCTGAGGCTCTTGCAGAAAACTTTATGTCAAACTCTGGAACCACATATGCTATTGCTACTCTCCCTGTATCTGGTTGTTTTGATCCATCAGTAACATGCACATATCCATAGTGACTATCCACATACATCAGAACCAACTGTCCACTATCTCCCTGGAAGCTTCTCAACTTGTCGTGCAAGGACGTGTCTGCATTTGGACCTGGCAGCACCCATGGGTGATGCGGTGGATAAACCACTGATGGGCTTAGTTCCAGGTTGTCTGAACGACTGAACGACTCTTTTACATTTTGCTTGCTCCCACGTTTGGACGAGGACACTTTTGGTTGGATGATCTTCCATATGTGTCTTTAAGTGAATATAATACGACAGTGATAATTGTAAATGGAATCTCACCGACTTCAACCTGAAGCGCTGGCCTCGGGGAGGCTCTCATGGCCCCTGAGCAGAGTCTTAGGGCTGTCCCCTGGACAACCTTCTTCAGTTCAGTTTTAGCAGCTGATCCATAAGCCAGACATCCATAATCAACAATAGATCTAATTAAACCAACATATAATCTCTTAATTGAAACTAATCCGCTCCCCATTCCTTACAGCACAAACATCTAATTACATTGATAACTTTCTTACACTTGCCTTTTACCTTTTCAATATGGTTACGCCAAGTGAGCTTAGCATCAAACTGTAACCCTAAAAACCTCATACAACTAAGTCTTTCTAGATCTCTACCAAACATGTCAAATTTGAATTTCTCATCAATCTTCTTAAGGAGAAAAACTTAACTTTTGTTTTCTCACCAGAGAACGGGAATCCCCATTTCCCCGCCCATTCTTCAACTGCATCATTTGCTTTTTGAAGACTCTTAACAGTGAACCCCTCTTCCAGAGAGCGCCATCATCTGCAAATATTGATTTCCCTAAACTCTTGTCAATTGTTTCATATATATCATTTATCATAATAGAAAATAAAACTGGTGAAATAACACTTCCTTGGGGCACAACATTATCAACCATGACACACAGTGATACAACAGTATCTGGGACCTGCCTGGTGTGTTCCTTTGTCTTCATGGTTCTCTCTGCGCTTTAAACAGAACCCTGAGACTATCAAAGAGCAGGTGCATTTATACGGAGACTTGATTACACACAGGAGCATTCTATTTATCATCATCAGTCATTTAGGACAACATTGGATCATTCGATCAGTGAAGCCTGGCACACTGTGTCGTGGCTGGACCACTGCATCACTACAGAGGATGCTCATGCTGCTCTGTCGGCCATGAGCATCTTGTATGAAATGTCCAGTGCAGATCATATCCCTGTATCAATGGTCATCAGATTTGGCATAATACCCACCATGCAGGAAGTTAAACATATTGAAAGTAAACACCTGGACTGGTCTGCTCTCTCTTCAGAAGAGCTTGCCTGTTATTGTGCTCACACTGACATGTTGCTAAATAATATTGCGCTGCCAAAAGGAACAGTTATGTGCTCTGATTACAATTGTACAGATGCTGGTCACAGGACATCTATTTCTGTTCTGTACTCCGACATTTCTTCTGCATTAATTGAATCTAGTGCGCCTTTTTGTAAATACAGAAAGAAAGGCCAAATAAGACCTGGTTGGAACTCTCATGTGGCTACTTCCCATGCTGAAGCCCGTGACGCTTGTAAGGCCTGGGCGACTGCAGGAAAACCCAGACAGGGACCTTTGTTAGAGCATAAAAAACGTACAAATGCACAATATAAGTACGCCATTCGATTCCTATGTAAAAATGAGGAAACAATACGGGCTGACTCCATGGCCAATAAGCTTTTAAATAATGACACCAAGGCCTTCTGGAAGCAGGTTAAGGATATAAATAATAGCAAACCCTGTCTACCTCACACTGTAGATGGAGTCACTGGGTCCCACTCTATTGTAGAACTGTGGAGAAAACATTATTTTAAACTGTTTAACTGTGTCTCAAGTGAACCGTACACTGTCAACAATGTTGACTTTGTGGATTCAATTAAAGTGCATGAGGTACAACAAGCTATTAATATGCTATCAAATAATAAATCCACAGGAATGGATCATATATGTGCTGAGCATCTTAAATATGCTAGTATGAGGCTGGCCCCTCTCCTGGCCATATGCTTCTCTACCTTTGTTGTACATGGTTTTATCCCAGACTCAATGATGTCTGTGTTATTGGTTCCTGTGATAAAAGACAAAACGGGGAAAGTGGGCAACTCTGATAATTACAGACCAATCGCCCTGGCAAATATACTGTCAAAAACATTTGAGCAAATCCTTGTGAGCAGACTCAGTGTTTACATTGGCTCCACGGACAATCAATTTGGCTTCAAAGCCCATCATGGCACTGACATGTGTATTTATGTTTTAAAACGTGGGCGGCACGGTGGCTGAGTGGATAGCACTCTCGCCTCTCAGCAAGAAGGTCCTGGGTTCGAATCCCGGTTTGACCAGGGCCTTTCTGAGTGGAGTTTGCATGTTCTCCCCGTGTCTGCGTAGGTTTCCTCCGGGTGCTCCGGTTTCCCCTACCACTAAAAATATGTACAATAGTTCTGGCATGTGCCTCCTGTACTGGCCCCACTCCCATCTCTGTGTGGAGTGAGAGACAAATGCCCATAATTAACAATTGTAAACCGCTTTGAGACTCAGATCTGCAGTGAAAAGGCGGTATATAAATAAAGATTACTACTACTAAAAGAATTGTTAAGTAAATATAAGTGTAGACAATCCACTGTTTTTATGTGTTTTTTAGATGCGTCCAAGGCTTTTGATCGTGTTAACCATGCCAAATTGTTTCACAAACTATGTCAAGCCAATGTTCCTAAATATGTAGTTCGTTGCCTGTCTTACTGGTATGCCCATCAGACTCTGGAGGTCAAATGGGATAACTGTGTGTCTGCACCCTTTCAGGTCAGCAATGGTGTGAGACAAGGGAGTTTGTTGTCTCCAATTTTATTTAATTTTTATATGAATGACCTTTCTAAAGAATTAAACTGGTGTAGAACAGGGTGTGTCGCTGGGGATAACATCGTCAACCACTTGATGTACGCTGATGACCTGGTGATTTTCAGTCCGAGTTCAGCTGGTCTCCAGCAGCTGCTTGATGTGTGTTCGGCGTACGGTGAACAAAACAATATTAAATATAATGAAAGGAAAAGTGTCATAATGACCTGTCGAACCAAAGAGGACCAAGCCCTGGTGTTTCCTGACTTTAAGCTCTCTGGAAACATCCTAAAAACTGAAAGCACGGTGAAATATCTTGGTCATATCCTGACAGATCGTCTGTCAGACGACGAGGATATGTATCGACAGTGCCGTATGCTGTACGCCCAGGCTAATATTTTGTTGCGTAAATTTGGGCACTGTTCTAATGCAGTAAAAGTGGCTTTGTTTCGGGCATAGTGCTCCCCGCTTTACAGCGCTCATCTGTGGGTGAACTATAAAAAGTCCAGCCTACAGAGACTGAAAGTGGCCTACAACGATGCCTTCAGACTGTTGCTAAAAAGGCCCAGATGGAGCAGCGCTTCTGAACTTTTTGTGTCCTGTCAAGTGAACTCACTGCAGGCCAACTTGAGGAACCTAATGTACAAGTTTATGTGTCGCCTGGACAATAGTGCAAATATGATGATTTTAGCGTTGACGAGTAGAGCTTTCAGTGATGTTCGTTATACCTCTGCACTGTGGAAACACTGGTATAGATGCCTCCTCTAAAGAGATTTGGGGACTTTTAATTGTTTTATGTTGTCTGTTTTCTAGTGTGTTGTGTTTTGTCTATTTTTTGTGTTTTGGACTACGAGTCTGTAATAAAAGCTATCTATTCAAAGATCCTCACTGAACTTCTGGACTGAGTTTGCTGCACTGAAAGTAAAGGGGCCCAATAATATTGCACGCCCCACTTTTCAGTTTTTTATTTGTTAAAAAAGTTTAAATTATCCAATAAATTTCGTTCCACTTCACGATTGTGTCCCACTTGTTGATTCATGACAAAAAATTAAATGTTTTATATCTTTATGTTTGAAGCCTGAAATGTGGCGAAATGTTGAAAGGTTCAAGGGGGCCAAATACTTTCGCAAGGCACTGTACTTCTGGAAGCTTAAGCTCTTCACAAACTCTTTAAACACTTTATTTCTTCTGTTAATCGCTTGTGTACACTCATCTGTCCACCAAGGAACTGCTTTCCGTTTCCCATTTCCTACCTTTGTCAACCCGATTGATTCCTTTGCTGCGTCTGTTATAGCTTTTGTCACATTCTTATTGACCTCATCCACATCCTCCATCACCTCAACTGGACCCATGTTCCTATCACTTATAACTGTGAACATTACAGTTATAGCCTTAGTAAAATCCCACCTCTCAAAGGACAGTGTTCTAACACTGCCATTCATGCTGCACATTCTATTCAGAATTGGATAGTGGTCACTTCCATTGTTGATTCATCATATACTTCCCAGACTATTTGTTGTGCAAGAGACTGAGGTACTAAAGTCAGATCCAACACAGATTGCACATTCACACCAATTCGAGGAGATGACCCATCATTCAATCCAATTCTTTCCTATCCATGAGCTCTTTTCTTACCGACCCATTGTGGTCTGTTTTTTCCCCTCCCCAAAGGACACTGTGCATTAAAATCTCCAAGCCATATTACATTCCTTCCTCCTTGACAGTCAATCGACTCTAACGCATCCATCTTTTACAAGGGTTATAAAGATTGACGACCGTTAGACAACCCTTTTCCACCAAATCTCAACAGTTAGATATTCTAGTTGTTCTCCTTTAGCTAAGACCCTGAAGGGAACCCCTTTCTTGATAAAAGTCGCACATCCCACTACTATCGTTTCTATCACTGCGCTCACGTACACACCCATTCAAGACAAAGCTCAAATGAGGTTTCAGCCACGTTTCAACAATGAAGATAACCACTGGCTTGACCTCTAATTCAGAGATAAATCTCTTGAACTCCTGTCCATTTGCTATCAAGCTTCTAGCATTCCACTGTAGAAAATAAATGTTTTATTTTATTTTATTAAAGTTATTTAGTTTGTCCCTTGTGACGCGTGAGCTGCCGTGAAGACTGACCCAGCTACTGGCTTCCCAGATTCTTCTTTATTCTTAAGTTATTAAGAATGAATATTCTCCCACTTGACACCTTTAATACCCAAATACTTTGCAGCACTTTTTACAACAATAGCAGTTTTCTCAGACTTGTGTTTTGCTTGTGACAATTAACAACTTCTGCAATAAAGCACAGGAACTCTTTCTTTTTTACCACTAGCACCTCATCATCAGCCCTGATCCTCTCACTACTCTCTGTATTTGGCCCAGTCGGAACTCTTCTCTCTGTATTTGGCCCAGTTGGAACTCTTCTCTATGTATTTGGCCCAGTTGGAACTCTTCTCTCTGTATTTGGCCCAGTCGGAACTCTTCTCTCTGTATTTGGCCCAGTTGGAACTCTTCTCTCTGTATTTGGCCCAGTTGGAACTCTTCTCTCTGTATTTGGCCCAGTTGGAACTCTTCTCTCTGTATTTGGCCCAGTCGGAACTCTTCTCTCTGTATTTGGCCCAGTTGGAACTCTTCTGGCTGTATTTGGCCCAGTCGGAACTCTTCTGGCTGTATTTGGACCAGTCGGAACTCTTCTGGCTGTATTTGGCCCAGTCGGAACTCTTCTCTCTGTATTTGGCCCAGTCGGAACTCATCTGGCTGTATTTGGCCCAGTCCGAACTCTTCTGGCTGTATTTGGCCCAGTTGGAACTCTTCTGGCTGTATTTGGCCCAGTCGGAACTCTTCTGGCTGTATTTGGCCCAGTCGGAACTCTTCTTTCTGTATTTGGCCCAGTCGGAACTCTTCTGGCTGTATTTGGCTCAGTCGGAACTCTTCTCTCTGTATTTGGCCCAGTCGGAACTCTTCTGGCTGTATTTGGCCCAGTCGGAACTCTTCTGGCTGTATTTGGCCCAGTCGGAACTCTTCTGGCTGTATTTGGCCCAGTCGGAACTCTTCTGGCTGTATTTGGCCCAGTCGGAACTCTTCTCTCTGTATTTGGCCCAGTCGGAACTCATCTGGCTGTATTTGGCCCAGTCCGAACTCTTCTGGCTGTATTTGGCCCAGTCGGAACTCTTCTGGCTGTATTTGGCCCAGTCGGAACTCTTCTCTCTGTATTTGGCCCAGTCGGAACTCATCTGGCTGTATTTGGCCCAGTCGGAACTCTTCTCTCTGTATTTGGCCCAGTCGGAACTCTTCTGGCTGTATTTGGCCCAGTCGGAACTCTTCTGGCTGTATTTGGCCCAGTCGGAACTCTTCTCTCTGTATTTGGCCCAGTTGGAACTCTTCTGGCTGTATTTGGCCCAGTCCGAACTCTTCTGGCTGTATTTGGCCCAGTTGGAACTCTTCTGGCTGTATTTGGCCCAGTCGGAACTCTTCTGGCTGTATTTGGCCCAGTCGGAACTCTTCTGGCTGTATTTGGCCCAGTCGGAACTCTTCTCTCTGTATTTGGCCCAGTCGGAACTCTTCTGGCTGTATTTGGCCCAGTCGGAACTCTTCTGGCTGTATTTGGCCCAGTCCGAACTCTTCTGGCTGTATTTGGCCCAGTTGGAACTCTTCTGGCTGTATTTGGCCCAGTCGGAACTCTTCTGGCTGTATTTGGCCCAGTCGGAACTCTTCTCTCTGTATTTGGCCCAGTTGGAACTCTTCTGGCTGTATTTGGCCCAGTCGGAACTCTTCTCTCTGTATTTGGCCCAGTCGGAACTCTTCTGGCTGTATTTGGCCCAGTCGGAACTCTTCTCTCTGTATTTGGCCCAGTCGGAACTCTTCTGGCTGTATTTGGCCCAGTCCGAACTCTTCTGGCTGTATTTGGCCCAGTTGGAACTCTTCTGGCTGTATTTGGCCCAGTCGGAACTCTTCTGGCTGCCTCAGCAGAGGACATCTTCCCTGCAGTCCTAATATGCTGGATTCCAATTGCCCTCTTCCTGGAGACACACTCTGTTCCCACTGTGCGCACCCCCACAACCCCAGTTCCACATGCTCCATAGTCATGGCCTCCTCCACACCGTCACATGTCTGTGTGCCTTTACAGTTAGCAGCTATATGCAAGGGCGTAGGTTTGCGTGGGGACCATGGGGACATGTCCCCACCAATATTTGGTGAGGACTAAAAAGTCCCCACCAAAATGACATGATGTCCCGTGACCCGGACGGTCCGGGACACATGTCTTCCGTTTGTGCACACGTCGCGCCTCCTCCTCGCCTCCAGAGCAACAGCAGCAGCAGCAGCACGTGACCCGTTCCGTTCTCTGCAGTGATTGGCTGTCTTCTTCAGCGCCAAACTGAAGCACTGAGCGACTGTTTAATTTTTAAAAGTTAGCCAGCGTGAAGCAAGTGTTTTTTTTCTTTCCCTGAGCGTTGTAGCACGTGAGTAATCAGAGGAAAGTACTGTAGATCTATTACCATTCAAAGTACTTACGTTATTTCTAATCTGTCAGCGCACTGTTTAATGTTCCGAGGAGCTCACACGGCACAGAGACAGAACAGAACTGGCTCCAATAAAGAAACAGGTTGGTTGAAAGGCTGAAAAAATACTTATTGTGCTCTTACTATCCAAAATGTATGAGTGGGTGTGTTGTGTGAATCAGGATAAACTAGGGATGAAAATATTCCACGGATCCACGATTCACAACCTTTATCTGCTGATAATGTGATTTCTGTGAAATGTGTGACAGCGGGCACTTGCTGTTATTTGCTCTAAGCACATTCAAGCGATGCACTCGAATGTGCACGTCCTGGTGCAGCTGCTGCCGCTTTGTAATGACAGCCGCGGCGCTCAGTGAAAGCACAGCTCTAACATGGTACCGAGCTCGGACCATATGCAGACAGAACCATGTTGCAAGTGCGGGTCTCCCTCGTATCTCCCCCGTTTCTCCCCTGTGTCTCTGACATGTCTCTCCCCTGACTCTTCCCAAAGCGCAACCAGCGCTCCCGAAATTAAAGCTCGGATACGTACATTTTCCATTGCGCTAACGATGCATGCTGGTTGTGCGCAAAACACACCACAACAGGTCATTTAAGTTTTTATTTTGAATACTTGAGAGCCCTGTGAGTCATTACTTGCCTTTTTGGGTTGAGAGTGGAATAAAAAAAAGAAAATATAGAAAAATCCACACTGTTACTTATTGCCAAACTCTTGTTAACTCATTGTATTGAGAAATACTATGTAACTTTTGACATTGGCCAAGTTATATAAATGATTCTGCAGTTCATGTATATGAATGTCTGTTTTTGATTTTCTATACCTTCTTATATAATTTAGAAAAAATGCCACCTCCACAAAAAAAGATAAAAGATATCAGGAGCTTTTTTAACAGTTGGAAAGTAAGTAAGAGAAAGCACAAGTAATAGCAAATTATGAATTGTGATGATTAATCTTCTGTTAACATACATAGGAAACTCAACCAACAAGAGAGAACAATATAGGGAATGTTGAGGTAGAAGCAACAGGCCCTTCAGTGCATCAGGCGAGGTTGGAATTTTGTAGGTATGCATGGGACTATGAATTGTTTTTAGAGATTGATCGTATATGTCAAACAATGTAGTGAGCTACTCACTGTAGATTCTAATTCAATATTTTCTCCTCTGTTTTTATTTATTATAGGCAATTGAAAGATCAGAGCATGATTTATTTCAAGTATCGAGAGCAGTTCCTGAACTGTTAGAGCCTCAGGTGAGGGCTATTATGTAGATTTGGATTAGGTTTAACTCAGTATAGAATCATACTAAAGTTAAAGAACATCATTTGGTTGGAAATTACCTATGCCAACTCAAACTCAAACAAACTATAATGATGAAAAAAGTGTTGTCTGAAATCTTTTACTAAATATAGGACACTCTGAGAGATATAATGGAAATTCAAGAAGGAGATAAAGACAAGGACAAGACAGGACTCCAGGTGAGGTTAGGATTAAGCAGTTATAATCTTAGACCCATCAACCAATTCTAGTTTCATGAGATATTTAGCGACTGGTGTACCATGCCTAGGTTTCATTTTATTCAATGTAGAATGTGTGTTTTTATTAATACCATAAAGGAAAGTCAGACAAACAGGGAATGTGCAGTGCTGGTAGAGGATGAGGAAGTGGCTGGACCTTCAGGGCTTCAGGTGAGGTTGAAAGTATTTATTTGGTTTTGTTGGTGGTTTTATTTTGTATATGCTTAGATCTGATTTGTTTAATGTACTACATGTGTTTTATTTATTATAGGGAACTCAGGTATTCAGGGAAGATGTAGTGCAGGCAGATATCGAAGCTGGGCTTCAGGTGAGGCTGGAATTATGAAGATAAAATATGGGATTTTTTAATGTTTCATAACAGTGTATTTGCTATTTAGGAGGCAGCCAATGAGAGTCACTCTCAAGAAAGTGCCAGGGACAGCATATTTGAGATAGGTTGTAAACCATATCAGCCTGATCCTGAATACAGGATATATTTACTTTATCTTATTTACTATAAACATTTAAGCCATCTTGTGGACAAAGTTAGAATGAACGCAACACAAAACTCAGAAGCTCTGATCCAATTGATTTTGTTTTAACTATTAGAAAAAATCCTTAACTGCTCCTTATTCAGTCTACAGCTGAGTTTAGTATAGAAGGGTTGTAGTGAATGTCCCCACCAAGATTGGAACCAAACCTACACCATTGGCTATATGTCCATATTTCTGGCACTTGTAACACCGCAATGGCGGCGGCACATACAGCCTTACACTGTCATTTAAATATCCTACAGAAACATATTTGGGCAATACTTTAAACTTTAAACTCAATACGCGTCCTCCCTGAATGTTATCCTTTAGTTTCCCCAAGTCCTCGTTTACAGGGATACCATAGATCACACCCCTACAGGTCTCTCCCGCTGCCACTCTTTTCTTACTCTCAGAGACTTCTTTCTTACAGACACTTTTTATCTTCAAAGCCTTCAACTGCTGGCTCTCATCTTTACACACTATTATTAAGTCACCATCCGAATGCACTCTAGCTCTAGCAATTTCACCTATTTTCTCACGCAAATATCTGCTAAGAGCGACAGGACCTACCATTTTAATATCATGACCCTCCTTAAACTTAACCAACATCTACAACAACACTATAAATCCTTCCTGGTCCACTTTCCGCTTCACCACTCGCTCATGTCCTCTGACTCACTGCCATGGCTTAGCCCTCTCTTTCTGTTACCACACATTTCACCCTCTTCCATGCTATCCTCACTAAACTCCAGCAGTAGTCCTCCCGACCCTGCCATATTGTGATCATGCACAATCTCCTTGGAGATTGGTAGTGGTTTTCCCACACATAACTCACGACACGAAAAAACCGCTCAACTCAACACCACGGCAACAACAATGACGTCAGTCCAACCAGCCTCCCCCGCTTTTTTCAACTGGCCGCCTGATCACTTCCGGTTTGGTCTTCTTCTTCTTCGTCTTCTTCTTCTTCGTGTGCGTTTTCAGCAGGCTAGACGCCGCTAGGCGTATTGCTGCCTTCCACAGTCAGTCAGTGGAACTGCATCAAGGGAAAATCTTCACATGAAGATTAGTGGAAGAAATAAACTCCATCACAGCAGCAATAATCTCACGCCGATTTGTTTGGGGATTGAGCAGGGTCTTCAATGACACACTGTCAACCCCCGTTCCCAGCACAACTTTAAACATTTGGCCTCGCTCCTGCTTGTAGCATACACACTCCATTAGTACATGACGAACAGTCTCTTCTTTCCCGCCGCACTCACAAAGTCCATTTGGTCTCTTTCCCATAAGAACAAGATCTGGGGCAAACCCACAGTGTCCCAGTCTGAGTCTTGTATATATTACTTGCTCCCTTCTGCTCTTTCCCCAGGTGATGTCTCCCCCCCTGACACTGCTCTGAACCAAATAAAAAGTCCTCCCCCTTTCCTCTACGTCCCACGCACTCTGCCATCTGCGCCCAATCTCCTGTCCTATCATTACACAGAGCTCGGTGTATCCCAACGTTGTTATAACAGTAACATTCTCCAAATTCAAGGCTTTCTTTGCAATAGAATCTGCATTTTCATTTCCAGCAACTCCCACATGAGCCGGCACCCACATGAAGGCTACTGAGATGCTGGCTACTGAAATAAGAATTTCCGAAATGATGTCCTGTTTTGCGTGGGACACTCCTGCTTGCAGCGCCATCAGAGCAGCTGCAGAGTCTGTACAGATCTTACCTACCCACTCCAACGCACCCAAAATCGCTATTGTTTCTGTGGTAAAAACTGACACCCCATCTGGGAGCCGATGTCCCCGACTTACACCAACCTCAGGAATGTGGACAGCAAAAGCTGCCTTCTTGCTGCCAGGGTCAACAGAACCATCTGTGTAAAACTGCATGGACCCACCCCAATTTTCATCATAGTTTCCGTTACCACCCCGACTGGGTTACTTCTACCCTTCTGCTTGAACTTATCCCTCACAGCCCAATCTATCTCTGGGTCTGGAAGCAACCATGGAGGGACACTCGGCCAGACAACCCTGGGAGACATGTCATCGCCCCAATTAGGAAACTCTCTTCTCACTTCTTTTACTAAACTCTCTCAGCAATCCCTTCACAGGATTCCCTTAGTCTTGGCTCTGTACCCTCCCAATATGCTGAAGGGCTAACTTCACACGTCTCAATTCAAGGGGCATCTCACCACACTCCACTAATAAGGCTGGGATAGATGTGGTCCTGAAAGCCCCACAGCACACCCGCAACGCTTTCGCCTGCACCACATCCAGCCTCGCTAAAATTGTCTTGGCCGCACTCCCATACGCCAAGCACCCATAGTCAATGCTTGCCCTGTAGATCATCAGTTGAGTTCCCTTGTCTGCACCCCAACTACTACCCGCAAGGCACCGCAATGTATTAATAGTTTTGCCACATTTTGCAACAATCTTATCAACATGGGATCTCCAGGTCAACCTCTTGTCAAAGTGCACACCTAAAAATGTAAACACTTTGACCCTTTCAAGCACTCTGCCATACATACTCAG